TGATAAGTAGGTAGGTAGATTAGATAGAGGGAGAGAGATGGTAGGTAGGTAATACAGAATAGAATAGGAAGATGAGAGGGAGTAGATTAGACACAGATGATAGCAAGGTAGGTAGAACAGAGAGAGATGATAGGTAGGTAAAAGAGAGGTAGGTAGGTAGATAGATCGATGATAGAGACCAATAGAAAGAACAGAGATGATAGGTAGATAGGAGAGGAAGGTAGATTAGAGAGAGATGATAGGTAGGTAGAGAATAGAATAGAGAGATAGAGAGGTAGATTAGATGGAGAGATGATAGGTAGGTAGAAGAGAGGGAGGTAAAAGGGAGGGAGGGAGTAGAAGAGAGCTAGGCAAAGAGGTAGGTAGGTAGATCAGACAGACAGACAGACAGAGAGATGATAGGTAGATAGGTTAGGTAGAAGAGAGGTTGATTAGAGAGAGATGATAGGTAGATTAGATAGGGGGAGAGGGAGAGAGAGAATAATGGATGAACGATATAGTTAGAGATATACATGGATGGATTGACATAAAGGGATAGATAATAAAGCTAGATAAAGGATATATGAGACAAATAATAGAGAAAATGAATGAATAAATGAATGAATGAATGAATGAGAAAGTGCAAAGGATATAAATGGTAGCTTGATAGGTAATAAATTGCCCATAATCCCCCAGGGACTTTCTTTGGCTACAAATGGAGTTGAACAGACCCTGCCTACCCACCCAGCCACACACACACACACACATCCCGCGCATATCCTGCTCCAGCACCTTCACCTCTGGCTGGCTGAGGAGCAGGGCTTGTCGAATCCCTACAGTTAATAACCCGCTTGCGAAGTGCATCTGGCTTCCCCATTGACTGTGTCAGGAGGTCGCAAAAGGAGATCACGTAGCCTTGGGACACAGCAATGGTCGTAGGTCTGAGCCAAGCGTACTGAATTTTGATCCTGGGGAATGCTGCAATGGGCGCATGTGTGAAAAACACCATCAGACAGTCACTTTTTTTCAGTGTTGTTGCAACTTTGAATGGTCACTAAATGAACTATAAATTGAGGACCACGTTATAATTCATAGAGCTCTGCCAGGGTTGTTCCTGAATGCTTTCAAGGTGAACTTCAAGTGCATGCTGGATTATTTATTTATTTATTTATTTTACTTGCACCTAAGACAGTCAAGAACGTCGGGTGGGGCATCTGTGGGAATTCTCAGTCCTCCAGGTCAGGGGTCTCCAACCTTAGCAACTTTTAAGAATTGTGGACAAAGCAAAGCTGGCTGAGGAACTCGGGGAGTTGAAGCCCACAAGTTTTAAAAGTTGCTACGGTAGGAGACCCCCTACTCCAGGTCATGGCTGTCCCAAAGGTGCTTTTGTTTTTTTTTTCAAGAGGCAGCTGGACTTTCTGGTTTTTACGTGAAGAGGTTTCGCTTCTCATCCCAGAAGCTTCCTCAGCTTCTTCAGCCGTTTCGCTTCTCATCCCAGAAGCTGAAGAAGCTTCTGGGATGAGAAGCGAAACGTCTTCAAAGAAAAAAAACAAAGTTCAGTTGCCTCTTGGGGGAAAAAAAAGCACCTTTGATACGTTGGGGGTGCATTCAGGGGTGGGATTCTGCTGGTTCGGCCCGGTTCGAGCAAACTGGTAGTTGAACCGGCAGTTGGACCGGCTGGCCCTCCCAGAAGTTCCAGTAGGCCACACCCACCATGGCCACGCCCCGCCCCCCCCCCAGCAACCAGGCAGCGAACCGGTTGCTGGGATTTTTGAATTCCCTTTACTGCCTTCTAGATGTTGACTAAGCCAGCATTACCACTGAGGGGGAAATATTGGGGCCTCAAACTTGGACAATGTCAGGTTGCCAAAGCCTGATTTGTCTGCCTAGGGAAAATTATGGCACGGTGTGTTTTCTCTCACTCCCTTCTTTCCCCCTTACTGTATTGTACCAGAATAAGAGTTGGAAGGGACCTTGGAGGTCTTCTAGTCCAACCCCCTGCTCACACGAAAAACCCTATACCCCTTCAGACAAGGGACTGTCCAACGATATTTTCTTAAAAACCTCCAGCGTGTATCCTATGGCCTTTTTTAATTTTTTTTTGACAATTTGAATTCCTTACATTTTAAACGGGATTTTCCACCCCGCAAACATTTTAAAAATTTATTAATGTAAAATTCGGTGAAAATGATCAGCCCTGCATTATTAACAACACGGCCTTCGGATTTATTAATATTGTTTTTAAAACTGAATCGTGATAAACATGGAAGTTAAAAGTTTGTTTTGGGCTTTTGAGGGATTGCGAGGTTTAGAAGCGCAGCCTAAAAGCAAAAACATGTCTTCATATTTGCATATACTCTCTCTTTTTCTTCCCAAACTCCCAAGTTGCATTAGAGGTATCCTAATTGTTCTCATGTATCTACAGGTTTTATTCTCGATATATTTTACAGCAACCCACAGTATTATTCAATATCTTCCGGCCGGACAGGATGCGGTAAAGGTATAATTGATTTCTTCTCTTTATCTCTTGATAGAGCTTTCCTCATGTCTGTAATAAAAAAAAAAAAAACATGGAACGAAATATAGATTAGGAACACAACCTACAATTCAAAGCCCAGAGCAGTTGCAACAACTCTCAACTCTCTGGAATGAGATTCTCCCCCAAAATCCACAGAGTTTCTATCCTGAGGATGCTCAGGGAGCTATTAACGACATAACTACAGGTTTACAAACACACCAGCTCAAAACTCAAGAGTTATAGGAGTGGTGCAGAAAACTCAACAGCTGGAGTAAAGTTGGATATCGCATGCTATTATTGTCCATTTTCCACCAATTATGCAGTGGGCTGACAAGCTCTTTTTATTCTGTATCTGTTCTGTCCCTCGAATGGCATTTGTCTTTTTGGAAATTTGGATTACAGATAAATGTGTGTATATAGGTTTCTCCTGTGCTAACTTAATGTTTAATAATATTTAATATTGTAATACTGCGCAAAAATACATACATAAGGCTATTTATCAAAATATAAAATGTAAGAAATGTATAGTTGATTGCAGATTACAGATTAACAGAGTTGGAAGGGATCTTATAGGTCATCTAGTCCAACCCCACCCACTCACCCAAGCAGAAGACCCTACACCATTTCTGTCAAATGGCAGTCCAATCTCCCCTTGAAAGTCTCCAGTAATGAAGCTCCCACAACTTTCGAAGGCAACTTCTGTTCCTTTGGTTGATTGTTCTCCCTGTCATAAAGTTTCTCCTTATTTCCAGGTTAAATCTTCCCTTGTTCAGTTTCCATCCATTCTTCCTTGTCTGGCCTTCAGGTGCTTTAGAAAATAGCTTGACCCCTTCCTCCTCTCTGGGGCAGCCCTTCAAATATTGGAAGACTGCAATCGTGTCTCCCCTGGTCCTTCATTATTATATTATAGTTTATTCTTATACTTTTACATAATAAGTCCATTATTATTGCTTTTTACTTATTTTGTTATTAATAGAGCTTACAGATCTATAAAAGACAGGCTAATACTTTGCAAGTAGATTTAGTAGTTTTAACCATTTTCAGGGCCTGTTTCAAAAGGGCTGGGAAACTAAATTGTTATATTAATCAGCATTCAACTAGGGAGGAGGTTAGGCATATGTATATGTGTTGGTTTTAGGGTTTTTTTAAGACACTTTTTGTGAATGTCTTTTGTTCTATTTTGTTCTTGTTTTTCTTTTAAATATTTTGTCTTTTTTGAATAAATTAAAAATTTGGGGGGGGGAAAAAATCAAATGTATAGTTTGGCAGGATTTGTTCCTGTATTTTGCATGTAAGAACTTAAAACAAATAGAGACATTTTTTAAAATGGGGATTTGTGTCAATCTTCTGTAGGCGATGAACAGACTGAGCTGGATGGGGGGGGGGTGTGAAATACGTCAGCAGTTTGGAATCTTTGTGCTCTCGCAAGAGACCTACATTCAGCCCCATCCCTGAATTCCATTGACCCTGATCTAGGGCCAATTTAGTTTTGACCGTTAAAATCGACCAGATTCTTGAGTATAAGTAGCAATAATAAGCTCTTCGGGGCGTGGAACTCAAGTGAATGTCCCTGGTTCTTTACAGCTGACACCATGGGTTTATCCCAAGTACCCTTTTACGGCTCAAAATCCGCACGCTTACCGTAAGCATCTTCGTCAGGTTCCCCACTGCTGGCCGAGTAGTACTCTAACACCGTCCTGTACACGCTGTAGCCCAGTTGCTTGTACATGTTCACCGCAACCTGATTTGACACCCTCACAAAGAGATCCACGAAAAATCCGCCCTTTCTTCAGCAAGAAAGAAGACGGAAGGGTAAGAAGACCGCGAGAGCAACACTTAAGACTGTGCGGCGCTATGAGGAGAAATGACGGCGCTAAGTAAAATTGCAAGGTGTATCTGTTCGTGTGCAGATAAGAATTGAAGCGTTAGGGGATTCCCTGACTAGAAAATGACTGGATTAATGTTCTCGGTTTTTTTTTAATTTTTTCTTATTTTATCGGGGTGAAATCGGGATGACAGATTTGGAGCCGAGCATTTACCAGCTGGATGCCCTCCCTGACGCCTATGCGGAGTTCACAGCAGATATTTTCTCTTTGCACCCAGAGAGAGAAATATCTGTCACTGCCTAGGATTGAACCGTCAACCTTTCGAGTGGGTGGAGAGCATCTTCACCTCTAGACCGCTGTGCCGCTCACAATGTTTTAATTAATGTTCTCTTATGTTCTGGTTTAATTATATTACAACTCTAAAATGAAATACAAGGAGAAATTAAGAGCACTCAAATTACAACGAGGTAACCTATATCTATACTTACTAGCTCGATCCCCGTGCTTCGCTACAAAACTATGTGGTCGGGCTTAGATTTTGGGGAGGAAAATAAGGGGGGGGGTGGAATTCTGCCTCTGCCTACCAGCATCCATCGGTATTCATCTGGCTAGCGTCCTGTCAGTGTGTGAAAGAGTTGAGGGCTGTTTGGAAATTGAAAGAGTATTTGCTGTGTGAGCAAGGAGACAGCAAGGAGCCTGGGCACGGCTTAGCTCAACTGCTCTGTACTAAAGCTGCTTGGTGCTGTGAAAGTAAAAGTGAAACTGAAAGTCCTCTGCTTGTATTTTGCATTTGGAAGAGATTTCTTTTCAGGCGGGGAGGGTGGGTAGAACTCCTTCGCATCAGAGCATGTTAACAATAATACACAAAATATTAATGCTCTGGGGGTCATTTCAAAATATCCTTTCTTAGCGAGACCCTAGAAGCCAAGAGGAAGATACGTGCCGAATTTCAAGTTTGTAGGCTTTATGGTTCCGGAGATTTTTGCGATGATGCGTGAGGGGCATTTCGCTTTTATACAGATAGATTTCACATGAATGTTTCTTTTGTTACAATTAGCTCTTATCATGAACCATCTTCTTATTGCTGTAAAATCCACCCATAAATGCAAAGATTGACTAGCTCTTATGCACTTAAAAGCACTTTGGCCCACTGTATTATTTAAATTTGCTTTCTGCAACCATGTAATTTTTAAATGAATTGAAAATGATGCTCCCTCTAATTCTTTTTTTGCTTCTCTTTTAAATTTTTAGTCAAGAATTTTGTTTTTATTTATCTTAAGGCCTGCAACCTTGCAGAATTCCTCTATTTCCTTTATTAATTTTACTCCCATATCCAACCAATCAACCATCCATCCAATCTCATGCCATCATCTATTTTTAAGAAAGCCACAAAACGCACAAGCTGTGGCATAAAAATGAAATCCAGCTATCTTTGAAGTTTCGTCATCCCTCTGTCTCATTCCTAAGAAACCAGACCGTTTCCCTAAAATTGAATATTAACGATTAGGATTTTTTTTACCCTAATCCATACCTCCCCGAGAACTCACCCAAATATATTTATTTGCTCACAAAATCCGCCTCACCTCTCCGAGATTTCTTCCAGCAGCTCCATCAGTTTGGCAGCCAGCCCCAACCGGCGGAACTCGGGGGCCACCGAGAGCGCGGTGACGTGGCCGTGCCACTCTTCCCTGGCCACGGATCCTTCAGCTTTGCCCATGACTGCAAGGAAGATCAGCGGGGATCAACCAACACAAATGTTAGTTGGGGCATTTGCTTAGCACCTTATTCCAGCAGAAGCGGGGGAAAAAATACCTATTTCACTACAGAAGCACCCTAAAGCAGGGGTCTCCAACCTTGGCCATATTAAGACTTGTGAACTTCAACTCCCAGAATTCCCCCTCCAGTCAGGTTAGCTCAGGGATTCTGGGAGTTGGAAGTCCACAAGTCTTAAACTCGCCAAGTTGGAAGACCCTTGAACTAAAAGATTCGGAAAATTTCACTCCATGTCATTGCAGGAGTCTTCCTTAACTGATCAAAAGTTTCAGTTATGGCAAGCCCATACAGGTAATCCTCGGCTTATACGATCTGTTGCTTAGCAACCAGTCAAAATTAGGACCCACTCCCCAAAATGGAACTTTTGAAAGGTCTAGCGTCCAGAACTAGCACCAAAGACTCCCCAGTTTCTCCACCTCCTCCTCCCTTCCAACACTGATGAAGTTACCTAGTTGGGTCATGAAACATCTGCAAGAAAGCTACCAAATTCAGAGAGCACAAAGGACTCCATAGTCTGTCCGTCCGTCCGTCCTTCCTTCCTTCCTTCCTTCCCCCCTCCTCTCTGCAAACCCAACACCCTTCTGGCACTGATGAAGTTACCTAGTTGGGTCATGAAACATCTGCAAGAAAACCACCAAGCCACTGGTGGGATTCAGCCAGTTTGTACTGGTTTGAGAGAACCGGTTGTTAACTTTCTGAGCAGTTTGGTGAACTGGAAGTTGGAAGAAATCATTAGGGCGGAGAACCGGTTGTTAAATGATGTGAATCCCACCACTGAGCCCAACCCTTAGGACTTACGACCCAAATCGCGGGCTCCATTACGGTCGTAGGTCAAGAGTGCAGGTTCAATTCTTAAAAGAGTCCAGATAGAAAAGAAAAAAAAAAAAGGGAAGGGGTCGTACTTACTGTAGCCCATCAGTTCTCCCCCAGGAGCTTCTGCCACAATAAAATATTCTGGCCAGTGAGCCAAGTACTGCAAGTAGAATGGAATTCCATACTATACGAAGGGTTTTACGTTAAGGAGGATTCATCTCAGCCAGTATGCCTTCAAGAACAAACTAAGCCTCACCAAATAACGTAAAAGAGAACCCTTCCAAAATTCCACTTGCCTGTGAGCAACACGCTTGTGAGCAACACTGTGAGCAACACGCTTGTGATCAATCTATGGAGACGCCGTCACGTTCCAGGCGTTCCAAATATATTCTTCTGAGTAGGAAACTACAGAGTAAGCTGCTGTTGTCCCCACTGTAGGTGTGTTTCTTCCATGGTTTTTCTACTGTATCCCATGAAGAGCCTACAATAAAAATATGTGTGTCTGCCTGTTAGGGAAACCCTTGCGAGGTGTTGGGGAGCTGCTGCACTTCCCCAGCGAGGACCTTACGGTGGCAGCCATATTAGGTAGGCAGAGGGCAGGAGAAGCAGCAATGGATAGAAACTAACCAAGGAGAGAAGCAACGTAGAACTGAGGAAGAATGTCCCGACAGTGAGGACAATTAACCAGTGGAACAGCTTGCCACTAGAAGTTGTAGATGCTCCAACACTGGAGGTTTTTAAGAAGAGATTGGAAAGCCATTGGACTGGGATGGCATAGGCTCTCCCGTTTGAGCAGGGGGTTGGACTAGAAGACCTCCAAGGTCCCTTCCAAACTCTCTTAAGTCTGTTAATTAATCACTGAAAACAGCTTGCCTCCAGAAGTTGTGGGAGTTTTTAAGAAGAGATTGAAATTAAGGAGAAATTTCCTGAGAGTAAGGACAATTAACCAGTGGAACAGTGAGAGTGCCCATCACTAGAGGCTCTCAAGAAGAGATTGGACTGCCATCTGTCAGAAATGGTGTAAGGTCTCCCGCTTGGGTGGGGGGTTGGACTAGATGACCTACAAGGTCCCTTCCAACTCTCTTAATCTGATTAGGTAGGTAGGTAGGTAGGTGGGTGGGTAGAAAGTAATAAGTAAGTTATGGGAGCTTCATCCCTGGAGACTGGACTGCCATCTGCCAGGAATGGTGTGGGCAGGATCTCCCGCTTCGGCAGGGGGCTAGACTAGATGATCTTCAAGGTCCCTTCCAACTCTGATTATCTGTTATCTGCTTGCCACCAGATAGTTGTTCATCACCTGGAGGTTTTTAAGAAGAGACTGGACAGCCACTTGTCTGGAATGGAATAGGGTCTCCTGTCTGAACAGGAGGTTGGACTAGAAGACCTCCAAGGTCCCTTCCAACTCTGTTATATTATTCCATTCCATATTTTCTATTCCATTTTATTCCATTCCTCATATCCTATCCTCTCCTATCAAGATCCCAGCTATGACCATCAATGTCTTCACCCCGAAGTCTCAATTAAAGATACAGTCTCTGTCAGGGGATCCAAATTGCTGTGGAAAAACAAGAGAGAAAAAATTTAAATACCGAGAGGAGGACAAAGCAGCACTAAAATCAAATATCTTTCCAGCTCCCTCCAACCCACAGAAGACTTCGAAGACCAGGACTGTCATTTTCTCCAAGGACGTAACAAATGGGAAGCAAATGCCAGCACTCCGGGTAAGAAAACAGCGCTTCGGACCAGCAGGCTAACTAACTTATGGCCACAACTGGGGCTCAAAATTTCCGTTGCTAAGCGAAACTGTAAAGTGGGTTTGGTCCCATATTACGCACTTTCTTGCCACCGTCGTTAAGCAAAGCATTGCAGCGGTTAAATGAGTAACACGGGTGCGATTAGTGAATCTGATTTCCCCGCTGGCTCTGCTTGTCAAAAGGTCGCAAAAGGGGATCACGCAACCCAGGGGACACGGGAACCGTCGTAAATACGAAGCAGTCGCCAAGCGTCCCAACTGAAACAAAGGTTTTGTCAGAGTATATTCATGAATTGGAACAGAGCTTGGTGACAAGGTCAGCCAATGAATAGGCCTAGCAGCTAAGTCAGCCAATGAGGACTGTTTGGAAACTGAAACTAGAAGTAGCCTAGGCGTGGTGGCTCTATATTAAGCTCTGCGGCTCTGAAGTATGCCTTCTGTCGATTTCTGAGTCTGTCTGTCGAAAATGAAACGGCTTCTCTCGTCTTGCTTGCCTGCTGAACTAGAAGTAAAAGAGAAACTAACTTGCTTACTTGCTGAAGACTGGAGCTCTGCTCTGAGCTTGCACCGTGTTTCTGTCTGAGTTTGCTCCGTGTTGGAGAAATCTACAACTGGTTTGTAAAATCTACTTATTATGTTTATAAAGACGTTAAATGAAGCATCAGCCATCGGTGCTTATTTTTCTGGCGCTGAATTAATGATGCAAAAACTCCGAACAGGTTTGCGGATGACACGACAGTGATTGGTCTCATTTGAGACAACGATGAATCTGCATACAGGCAGGAGGTTATACGACTTGCCTTATAGTGTAACCGGAACAATCTGGAACTGAACACACTCAAAACTGTAGAAATGGTGGTAGACTTTAGGAGAAACCCTCCCATACTACCGCCTCTTACAATACTAGACAACACCGTATCAGCAGTAGAGACCTTCAAATTTCTAGGTTTCATCGTATCATAAGATCTAAAATGGACGCCTAACATCAAAAACATCATCAGAAAAGCACAACAAAGAATGTTTTTTCTGCACCAACTCAGGAAGCTCAAACTGCCCAAGGAGCTGCTGATCCAGTTCTACAGAGGAAGGATGGAGTCTGTTATCTGCATCTCTATTACTGTCTGGTTTGGCTCTGCAACCTAACAGGAAAGATACAGACTTCAGAGAGTAATTAGGACTGCAGAAAAAACAATTACTACCTACCTGCCTTCAGTCAAGGACTTGTATACTGTACAAGTAAAAAAGAGGGCTGTGAAAATATCTACAGACCCCTCACATCCCGGACACAAACTGTTTCAACTCCTTCCCTCAAAACGACACTATAGAGCCCTGCACACCAGAACAACCAGACACAAGGGAAGTTTCCCCTAATGCCATCACTCTACTAAACAAATAATTCCCTCAACACTGTCCAACTATCTACAAAGTCTGCACTACTATCACTATTAATCTTCTCATCACTCCTTACCGCCCATCCTCTCCCACTTGTGACTGTATGACTGTAACTTTGTCACTTGTATCTTTACGATCTATATTGGCTGTTTCCTAGTATGATTTGACTGCTTAATGTACCCTATGATTATTATTAAGTGTTGTACCTGATGATTCTTGACAAATGTATCTTAGAACAGAACAGAACAGAACAGAACAGAACAGAACAGAATAGAATAGAATTCTTTATTGGCCAAGTATGATTGGACACACAAGGAATTTGTCTTGGTACACTGAGAGCATTTGCACCAAGACAAATTCCTTGTGTGTCCAATCACACTTGGCCAATAAAGAATTCTATCTTCTATCTATCCTCTATCTATCTAAGCATGAAAATAGTCACTTTTTTCAGTAAACTTCAGTTTTAAGTCAGGGACTACCTGTTGTCGTTATTTCAGGGTCTATGGAAAAGCATCAAAAGCCAAGACTTAGTTCCAACTAGCTCAACCTGTCTATCAAGGGATTTAATCGGAATGGAGCTGGAAGAGACCTTGAAGGTCTTCTAGTCCAGCCCCCTGCTCCAGCAGGGAGCATCAAATGGTACAGGTAAGTCCTCAACATACAACAGTTCATTTAGTGACCATTCAAAGTTACAATGGCACTGGAAAAAAAAGACTTATGGTGATAAAATTTGTCTCAATATTTTCAGGAAGAACCTAGAGGGCCACCACTCAAGGATGGTTTAAACTGGTCTTTCTGCATAATGCAGAGGGTTGGACTAGATGATCTCATGCTCCCTTCCATCATTCTAGGGTTGTATTGTAGCCAACTAACAGGAAGGGTATTTGGAAAAGCTGGGCTTTGTAGTTAAAGTCAAACAAGGAGGACCACGGGTGTAATTTCCTTCTCCATCAACACCCTCTTCAAACTCTATGAGATTATAGATAATTAAAAAGAATTAAAAGACAGACATGGGTAATATCCAAATTTCACTCTGGGAAATCTGACAAGTGAGTTGAAATAAGAGTGGAAACTCCCATTTTTACGCTTCAAGCAAAACAAGCCTCTTGGTAGCGAGATGAGTGACATATAAATTCAATTTATAAATAAGGAAAACACAAAGCAGCTTAAATTCTTGCTTTAATTCTAGAAGGCTTCTCACAGAAATTTTAAAAAGGGACGGCAGAAAAAGGCCTAGCGGTCCATCGACTTTGCCTTTTCAGTTTGTTTTTTGTTATTTTTGTTATTTTTAATTATTTTATCTCTGTGTGTGTGCATGTGTGTGTGAATCTATGTGTGTATATATGTGTGTGTGTGTATGTGTGTATATATATATATATATATATACATACATATATACATATACATATATACATACATATATACACACACACACATAAAATAATTAAAATAACACACACACACAAACACACACACATATATATATATATATACACACCTACACACACACACACAATGGTAAATATAATTCAATATTATATACCTTACAATATAATGTGTATTATATTGTGCATAATGTGTATATTATAATGTGTATTATATAATGTGTATTATAAATATTTATATATATTGTCGGAGGTGTCCCTCTGACATTTGCCCTTGAAAAAGTGAAACCATATTGAACCGGCTTGGGACCTGGATGAGAGACCACCAAGAGATCCAAACCGCTGGGAGGACCCCAGCAGGCTCTCCTCCCCTTTCTCCGGCCAGGGCTTTAAGCATTAGCAGCTGAATCCTTCCCAGCCTCCTGCTCAGCTAGGGAATCGCACCTGCTGTCCCTGGACGGGAGACCACCAGGTGAGGCCAGGGCCAGAATGGGACGGGAAGAGGGAAAGACCCCGGAAGAAGCCAGAGGAGACCCGCCATGAACTCGTGGGGAGGCCAGAAAGCGCTCACAGGGAAGGGGGCTCTTGAGGTCATTTAGCCCACCCTCTCCTCCCCGGGCTCCTTCCTTGGAAGCCCCTTCCCAAGCGAGGCCCCCTCCCTTCTCCCAGATCCGCAGCAAGGGTCCCCTCGAGGTCATCTGGACCACCACCACCCCGCCCGGCGCTGGGCCCGGGGCCTCACATGTTGTTGAAGCGGAAGAGGTCGTTGCAAGTGAACGCCCGCAGAGAAGTCATGCCTGTCTCCAGGGCAGCCGACCCGGAAGCCGCCGCCGCCGCCGCGATGCACCGCCCCGTGACCCCGAGCGTTTCCGCTCCGTGACCCCGAGCGTTTCCGCTCCGTCGCCGGGCAACGGAGCCGCCGAAGCCACGCCCACCCGAGCGTAGGAGATGCGCCCCGATTCCGGAGCCGCCGAGGCCCCGCCCACTTGAGCGTAAGAGGCGCGCCAATCCCAGAACCTCCGAAGCCCCGCCCACCAGAACTTAGAGAGAAGTTAGTAGAAGCGCGCTGTAATTCTCGCAGCCGTCACTTACGGGCTCGCATCCTGTCAATGGGCCCTTTAAGTCTCCCCTCTTTCTCCAATCTCCTTCATCGTCCTACCTCGCAGGGCTGTTGTGTGGGAAACAAGAGGCTATATAAAACGCAGTGCAACCACCTCCTCTCTGATCATTGGGGGGTCTGAGTGGAACCCTTGCAGCTGTGTTTCTCTCCTTGGCAACTTTAAAAGAGATAGACTTCAACTCCCAGAAGTCCACCTCTCCTAAAGTGTCCAATTTACACTGCACTTATATGGAGAGGTGCCAACTCAATTTTGCATCATGCACTCACGATGCCACACACAAGACCACACAAACACAGGTCAGTTCCAAAGCCATCACTCCCACTGTGCCAAAAAAAATACGTGCATCCTTACAATCGTTAAATTGTTATAAATATGAATATTAGCATTCTATTGTAGGAGAAAGGAATGGTAAGTGGAATCTGATTGACACAAAAAATAATGTAGCGTAAAGCAATTATATTACTATTAGAAGTGCACAACATGTTAAACGTTGATGAATGCTATTTGATGAATTCTATTTTATCTGCATTAAAATGTGACTTGAAAGGGGATGCTTTAAGTATAATAGTGGCATGATTAAAACTTGAATAATGGAAAAATGGATAAAGTATTCTATTCTAAAAAAAATTCTATTCTAAAAAATATAAATCAATATGAATCTGTGAATTGTTATCAGAATTATATAATTTGTTAAACATTGCCAACATGATTATTAATATAGTTTCTGTAGTAAAAGGGGTGATATTAAGAATATAGAGATGGACATAAAAATAACATTGTAATATCGAATAAAATTGATAATTTAACAAAATATGCATATTAAGATCAAATCTTATAAGAATGTCAACCGCATCAAATATGAAAACTATTGTTACCTTTGTTTTAAAATGTAAGACACTCCTGAACCGCACTGTTCACACAATGATATGTTGAAACAAAAATAAAAAATGTATTTTTTTAAAAAAGTGCATCCACCCAAATACCTTTAAAACACCAACCCTTCATCTTAAAAGACCATTTCTATTTAAAACTTTTATTTGCAACCGTAGGTTTCAGCCAAATCCAGATAAAATCCCAGCAATCCATTTCAGTTCAACACACCCTTTCTCATCTAAACAGCCTTTTTTGGTGTAATATGTTTTTTTTTCTTTTTATATCCATACAGGGTATATATTCAGAATGGACAAAGGTTGTGAAAAAAGTTACCTATAAAACCACAAAGCCTTAGAAACGTTCTATTAAGTGAATCAAATCTCGAATCGCATTTGTTCGTCAGAAATTATTAGTTTGCTACTGTGGAACAGTACCTCTGCTCTTCCTCAAATTCTATTCATCCCTTAACTCTTTTCAGACCAACTTTATTTCTTGTGTTCATTCGTTCAACCGGACGTGTAGTGGAGTGGCCTAGAGGTGGAGATCTCACCTCACAATCAGGAGGCTGTGAGTTTGATCCTAGGTAGAAGCAGATATTTCCTCTCTCTGGGCATAATGAAAATACATCAGCTGAACAAAACTCCGCATCAGCGACACGAAGAGCATCCGGCCATTAAACTGCTCTGCTAGCTCCATTCAGTCGCCCAAACTCCACCCCGCAAGGGATTATGGGGTCATTAAATGATGATGATTCATTCAACCAGATCCCCGTGACTCCGTAGCCTTGAAGAAGCAGGCCGACTTACAGCTGCTTCCTTTTTCTGGAGGCCTGCTCTGGACGGTAGTGAGAAATCATCTGAACAAGGATCGTGCAGTTGATGGAGAGGAACCCCAATCCCGCCAGGCAGAGGAGCAGAAACGTATTCTGCCCTTGAAACTCCAGGAAGTAAGCGGGGAGCAGCCAGAGACCCTGTCCCAGGAGCCACAGCGATAGCAACACTGCCCCCCGGCGCCAGGACATCTGCAGGAAAGGCAGCACCAGCGGGAGAAGGGACAGGTACCACAAGAAATACTGGGAGGTGCAGACTTTGTTAAAGCTCACAAAAACCGCCGTGTGCAAGAAGCAGCAGAAGGCCGGGTCTCGGTGGTAGGCGAAGGAGATAGCGAGAAGTAGCAGCAGCTGAGGCAGGAAGGCAGCCAGCCCCAGCGCCCAACTCCAGCGGCTTTCAGCCGTCAAATACAGCAGGTAGAAGTAAGGTGAGAAGTTGTGACGGGTGTCCCTCCGGAGCAAATGGTAGAGGTAGGTGTGCTGCAGGAATTCCCAGCCGTAGTAGGCATAGAAGGCAAGACCTAGGGCGGCAAAGGTGCCCCCGGAGACGGTGGCAAAGATCAGGATGTCCCACGTGAACCAGCTCGAAAACAGCCGACGGAGGTGGCCTGGGCAAGCTCCCTCTCCTTTCCGTTTGTCCGGTTCTGCTCCGGCGCTGCTTTGCAAGTAGAGAACAAAAGGCAGCGCGTAAGTCACGGGGTAGATCTTCACATGTACGGCGAGGCCGTATAGCACAGCCGCCTTCACCAGATGCTTCTTGGCCAGGTAATAGAGTGTGCCAAGGACCAGGCTGACAACGAGCGACTCGGCGTTGCCTCGGCTGGACACCGTCATGGGAAGCGGGTTAAAGAGCCAGAAGGCACAGCACCCACAAGACGTCCGGCTGTCCAGCCCACGGAGGAGCAAGATCTGGTCGATCAGGAAGGCAGCCACCAGATCCCCAGCCACAAAAAGGATCTTGCCAAACAAGTCGCTGACGTAAATGTTAGGGGTTAACATCCAGGCCAGGAGGGGAGTGTAGCGGTACGTGGCCCGCTGGTAAGGGGACTTCCCTTCCACAAAGTATCCGGCGGCATCGGTGAAAACCTGGTAATCGATGTCTGTGTATTTCACCGGCATCGTTCTGTCCTGGTAGATCCCGTAAAACGTCAGGCCCAGCCTGATTAGCAAAGCACTGCCGAATAAAACATCTCTCCGGAAGAACCCTTTGAGAATCCGCTGCCTTAGAGGGAGATCCGGGCATGGCTCTCCAAGACTGGGATCACGATGAGAGGCAGATCCAGGAAGCGGTCCAGATTTAAGAGCTTGTTTCAACATGGTTACCCAAAGAACAAACGCTCAAGTTGGAAGAACTCTACTCCATGGTGTTCTGAATTGAGCGGGCAGTCCTGCTTAAAAAAAAAAATGTAGCCACAATAAAAAGAAAAGCAGAGATTGAATTTTAAAACTGGACAGGCAGGCCAACACTTCCTTACTCAAAGGCTACCTCATATTTGTTTATACTTGAATATAAAATATAAATATAAAGAAGAGCAGCAAAGATGATTAGGAGACTGGAGGCTAAAACATACAAAGAACGTTTGCAGGAATTTGGTATGTCTAGTTTAGAGAAAAGACAGTGACCTGCCCCTGTTGGAATCTGATTCTGAGGGGGAGGTGAAACAGCTGACAGGGAGTGGGAGTGTGGCTCCGGTGGCATTCAGAGGAAGACCCAGGCCCACCCTAGGGCACACAGGGAAGAACGGATAAGGGAGCAACATGGGTTACGGGGGAGAAAAAGGTCCTGATTCCCTTCATTAGCTGCAGCAGGGAAAACGGGATTTAAAAAGAGCGTTTGCGCACAGCACCTTGCTGGAAGCAAAGCGTGAATTATCTTTGTTTATCAAGTCTTATCTGGGTCCTGGCATCCTCCCAACTGTGTGTGTTTCGTTATCTTTTGAGGTCTGCAATCCCTTATCCTGCCTTGTCTCATTCATTGCTGCAGCTGTGGTTTGTGTTGGTTTTTATTTATAATCTAGATGAACTTTGGGTTCAGACTGAATTTCTTCCTTTTAAACTGTTCTTGGGAGAATTTTTTCTCCAGCAGAAGATGACTGGACATTGGAGGTCAAGTTGGAGGGATTAAAGGGACTTTACCTACTTTTGTGACTTTGTTGCTTTTGTGCCATGCCCCAGGTCATCACAGAAGGACATGGGGTGACATGATAGTAGCCTTCCAATACCTCAAGGGCTGCCCCAAAGAAGAGGGAGTCAGGCTATTCTCCAAAGCACCAGAAGGCAGGACGAGAAGCAGTGGGTGGAAACTAATCAAGGAGAGAAGCAACCTGGAATGAAGGAGAAATTTCCTAACAGGTAGGATAATCAACCAGTGGAACAGCTTGACTCCAGAAGTTGTGGGTACTCACTGGAGGTTTCTAAGAAGATTTTGGACAACCATGCATGTATCTGAAATGGTCCAACTCTACTTGAACAGAGGGTTGGACCATAAGACTTCCAAGGTCCTTTCTAACCCTGTTATTCTGTTCCATTTATTTGTTAAATTTATTTGTCACTCATCCCGCTGTGGGGCTGCTCTGGACAGCATATAATAATAAAATGGGGAAAAAAATAATAAAACGGGAACCCTGGGAGTTGAAGTCCAATGGTTTTTAAAGTTGCCAAGATTGGACACGCTTGCAAACAAAGACAGGATTCTACACCTTAATTTTTCCTCAGTTCCTTTGGCACAGAAGCCAAAACTGCAACAGACATTAGCAGCTGCCCAAAGACTGCCCCCCCCGTCACATTCCTCCAGCCGCGAAGGAACAAGTGAAGTTTTATCACAACTTAGACGGATTGCTATAAGAAAAAGTTAAAAAGTTGTTAAATGTTTAAAATTGCAGGCATGAACTGTATACTTTTTCATGGCTTTTCTTAGCAGAATGGCATTGCTGGCGGGCATTGAAAATTTTATGTACTTTCTATCTTCGACTCCACACTCCACACATGGGAAGAACAAGGCCAGCAAAATCCCATTAAACTACTCTTTCTCCTGCAACATCCATTGGGATAATTGTCGACTGTAATTAAAAAGATAATAATTAACTCTGGGAAGGAATTTAAAGGGACCGAGACCCCAATATCCCTTCTGCTACAGGCCAAGGGTTCCTATTTCAAGTGTAACTTTGAAATAAAATGTAAAGTCATTTCAAGAGCCCTTTCACTACATTAAACCTTCAAAGCCAAAATAAATGAGGAAGCCAGGGAGAAATGATAACGCTGGCAGTCTTGCATGAAACGATTTCTACTTTTGCTGACACCAACAGAGTTCGCAAAAGAAGTAAACGCAGATAATAGCACCAGGAAGGGTGGGGGGAGCAGTTAAGCTGTATGAACTCAGCCTAAGACAAAGTATTCTCACTTTTCAGGAGGGAGAGAAATGCGGCCCTTAAAACTTATTTTCAAATTTCATCCCAATTCTTTTGAAAAGTACATTTTGAAGAAGGGAAACTGAAGTGGAGTTTCACACAGATGAGCTCCAAGCTGCTTTTCCAAAAGGCAACTGGAATGTTTTCTTCCTTGTGGAGGAAGACATTTCGCTTCTCCTCCAAGAAGCTTCGTCAATTCATGGTGAAGTAATGAAGCTTCTTGGATGAGAAAGGAAACGTCCTTTTCTTCTTCCTCAAGGAAAAAAAATACACCTTTTGAGACAAAGGATCCCCGAGAATCTCCATAGACAGTTTCACACAGAGCTGTTCTCTGCCACCGCTTAGTTCAGATCAGAGGAGCCCATCCATGGCAACTATAAGACTTGCAAACTGTAGGAATGTACTATAAATGCAAAGATGGTCATAAGTCATTTTTTAATGCCAATGTAACCTTGAACAATGGCTAAATAAATGATTGTAAGTTGGGGACTCCCTGGAGGAGTGGCCTACACAGTGATATATAAGGAGAAGAGAGAGAAATTTGCTCTTTCTGAATTCAAGAAAGGAAGACAGGAGGATGAGGAGGAGGAAGTAAAGGTGTAGTGGAAGAAGAACAAATGAAGCTCAGGAAGGAGGAGGAAGAATTGGAGAGGCAGAAGAAAAAGGGGGAAGGAGGAGGAAATTATTTAAGTGGTGGTAGAAGAAGAACAGATGAAGCTCAAGAAGAAGGAGGAAAAGATGAGAGAGGAGAAGGATGAATGGAGAGGAGAAGGGAAAAAAGAAAAGGGGAAGGAGAAAAAAGGAAGAGGAGGAGGAAGATGCAGAAGAGGGGAAGGAAAGGAAGTGGAAGTGGCAGTAGAAGAAGAAGAACAGGCTTGCTCAAGAACGAAGGAGGAGAGGAAGACGGAGAAGAAAATAAGAAGGAAAAAGGGTGGAGGAGGAAGAAGGGGTGGCGGTAGAAGGGACAGAACTGGTGCGTGCTCGAAGGAGGAGGAGAAGCAAAGGAATGAAGGAGGAGAAAAGGAAGACGGAAGGAAAGGAGGAGAGGAGGGGAAGAGGAATAAAAGGCGCGTCTCCCCTTCCTTCCCCGGCATCTTCTTCCTGCTCTCGGGGTGCCCCTCTTGAGGCTCTGCCTTGCCCTGCCTCTTAGCCTGGGCGCCCCCCCCCCCCGGGTGCAAAGGCCTCCAGGCGTCCACTGGGGGCGCCCAAGAACAATGGGGGGGGGGGGGCTCGCGCGGACTTCGGCGGGAGAAGCAGCGCGGACCGGACTCCGCTCTCGGGACGCTCAAGCGAGGAACATTCGACTCCCGGCCAGCAGGGGTCGCACCACGGGCGGAACTTTCCTGCCGGCCCCGCGCGCCGGGGGAGCGCGTCCGTGACAGGAAGAGTCCCCCATAAGCACTTCCGGTCGAGCGGGCGCCGGCCTAACGACCGGGTTCACCGCTCTACCGCTGGCGAGTCCGCCGGTAAGGAGCCGGGATGCGGCTGCTGCGGGGCGGGCTGGGCTTCCTGCTGCGCCCGGGGATCCGTCGCGGGCCCGGGCAGCCTCTCTACCAGCAAGGCCAGAGCCCGTCGCCGCGCACCCGCGAGTACTTCTACTACATCGACCATCAGGGACAGGTATGAGGGGGGGTGGAGTTCCTCCCAGTGGGGAGGGGACAGAGGTGTTGAGGTCATAAGGTCAACCGGATGCGCCCTGGAAGGGGGTTTGTTCGATTGGAAAGGGCATTTCCGGCTGGGGAGGGGCAAAGGAGACCCCCCCCCAAAAAAAAGTGGGGGAAGGGGAAGCTTGCATTCCAGGTAGTCCTCGACTTACGACCACGCTTCAGGCTTACGGTTCTGTTGCTAGGCAACACAATTGTGGGGGGTTTTGCCCCGTTTTACGACCTTTTCTTGCCACGGTTATTAAGTGAGTCAGAACAGTTGTTAAGTGAATCTGGCTTCCCCATGGACTTTGCTTCTCAGGAGGTTGCACAGGGGGAATCACACTGGGTGCGGCTACTCTAGAGGAAAGAAGGGCTGGGCCTAGTGGGCACCTGAGAGCAGCCTTCCAATGTTTGAGGGGCTGCCACAATTCAATTCAACCTTGATTGCCAACGCACAACACGTGTACAATGAGATTGGCTGAGCCTCCCTTAGGGCGCACACACCCCCACCCAGCATAAATACATATCAATAACTCACACTGAAAAAGAAAATCCCTAGCCCAATAAATCCTACTAACAAAGAAGAGGGGGTCCAGCTATTCTCCAAAGCAGGGGTCTCCAACCTTGGCAATTTTAAGACTTGTGGACTTCAACTCCCAGAGCAAAGCTGGCCGAGGAACTCTGGGAGTTGAAGTCCACAAGTCTTAAAATTGCCAAGGTTGGAGACCCCTGTTCCAAAGACATAAGACATAAGAATTTATTTGTCATTACACTCACAAGCGGGTGCAACGAAATGAGGTGCTCTTCCACAAATAAAACTGGACAACACCATTGAAAGAAAAATAAAATTAAACACAACAGACCATACAATAATCTCTATACAATTTAAAAATGTAAATACCCCATTACTCTCAGCCATTAAATTCCACAAAATCTTATGACCCTGCATTCAAACTCAAAACTGCACTTGGATAAAAACTGTTCTTAAATCTAGTCGTCCTTGTTCTTAATACCCTGAATCTCCTTCTCGATGGTAATAGTTCAAAGAGCTGATGTCCCGGATGAGAGGAGTCATTCAATATATTAAATATCTTCCTCTTACATCTATTCCTATACCGTTCTTCCAAAGAGGGGAGTGAGCAGCCAATGATGTTTTGGGCCATCTTAATCACCCTCTGAATTGCCTTTTTCTCTGCCACTGTGCAGCTCGAGAACCATACACAGAGACAGTAGGATAATATACTCTCAATTGAACTCCGATAGAAGGTAGTCAGTAGACTCTCAGCCAGTTGTTGTTGCCTAAGAATCCTTAGTAGATACAACCGTTGTTGTGCCTTCTTAATTAAAGCAGCGGTGTTTGCACTCCAGGTCAGGTCATTTGTAATGATGGTCCCGAGATACTTACATTCAACCACCTGTTCCACAAGAACTCCCTCTATATACAGTGGCTGAATGTCTGCTCTTTTTTTCCTATAGTCCACTATAACCTCCTTGGTCTTCTTAATGTTAAATAGAAGATTATTATTTTTGCACCAGTGGGATAGCTGTAATACCTCATCCCGATATGCAGACTCATCATCCCCAGAAATAAGTCCTACAAGCGTAGTATCGTCTGCAAATTTTATTATCTTATTGTTGGGATGTTTATTTGTGCAATCAGATGAATAAATGGAGAACAGCAGTTGACTAAGGACACAACCTTGCGGAGTGCCAATGCTAAGTGTCTTGACAGTAGAAATATAATCATTCAGTTTAACTCTTTGTGGATGATTTGTTAAAAAATCCAATATCCATAAACAAATAGAATCTGGAAAATCTAGATCTTCGAGCTTGGCTATTAATCTGTGCGGTATGATGGTATTGAAAGCAGAACTAAAATCTGCGAACAACATTCTTACATAATTCCCCGGTGTTTCCAAATGGGATAAGGCCATGTGAAGCACAGTAATAATTGCATCCTCAGTTGATCTATTTTCTTTGTAAGCAAACTGAAGCCCATCAAAGGAATCAGGAAGGCAGGAGATAATATAATTTCGAACTAGCTTCTCAAAGCACTTCATTAAGATAGAAGTTAGTGCCACCGGCCTATAGTCGCTAGGACCATTTGTGGGCAACTTTTTAGGCAGTGGAACGATGGTGGAAGCCTTGAGACACACAGGAACCACACTTTGTGTCAAGGATCAATTAAAAATTTCAGTCCACACCCCAGCTAGCTGATCAGCACAATCTTTTACCACACGACCAGGAATTGAGTCGGGCCCAGCTGACTTTCTGGAATTAACCGCCTTCATTGTCTGCCTCACATCCTGCTCATTCACAATGAAGGGGAGGCTCTGTTGAGTAAATGATGGCAAAGGGACAGTTTCAGTTTGATGGATCTCAAATCGAGCAAAAAAATTGTTCAACTCCTCCACCACCACCGCACTACCATCCAAAGAGACCTTTTTTGCTTTATAGTTCGTTAGTTGTTGAACTCCCTGCCAAACCTGCCTCATGTTATTACTGAGAAAGCAGTCTTCAATTCTCCTCTTATATTCGGCCTTAGCTTGCTTAATACCTCTCTTCAAGCACCGAAAGGCAGGACAAGAAGCAACAGATGGAAACTCATCAAGCAGAGAAGCAAGTTAGAACTAAGGAGAAATTTCCTGACAGTGAAGGCAATTAACCAGTGGAAGAAATTGTCTTTGGAAGTTGTAGGTGATCCATCACTGGGGGGTTTTTATGAAGAGACTGGACAGTCACTTTTCTGAAATGATATAGGGTCTCCCTGCTCAAGCAGAGGGTTGGACTAGAATGTTGCAGGAAATTTCAAGACTCAGACCTTGGAATCAGAAATAGTTTTATTGGCGCAAAGGTTCAGAGCAATTTAGCCAAAGCAACATCTCAACAACTTCCTATAGATTTTACACTCACATATATACATTCCAGAAGCTGCAAACCACAGAAATATAACTTGTTCGCATTTCATGGGTTACTTGAAATACAGCCCCCCCTGTTGCTAGGCTACAGTAACGAAATACTTTCCCCTCTCAGTAATCTATGTCAAAGGTGAATTTCCACAGCTTCTAGTTTCCAGCAGGAGGCTTGTGGTTTTGTTGCAAGGTTATCTGTAACAAAGCTTCCTGCTTGACAAATATGAGCGAGTGACCGACAGGTGAACCTATGATCTGACATTTTTTCATTTCTTTAATACACACATTTCGCTATCAAAAGAACAATCTTTTATATCCTCCTTTATGTTGTGCCTCAAGAAGACCTCCGGGGCCCCTTCCAACTCTGTCATTCTACATTCTATAAAGTTCAGAAGAGAAGGATTAGAGTTGATGTGATAGCAATATTGCAGTATTTGTGGGGCTGCCATAAAGGAAAGGGGATTATTGGAAACTCATCCAAGGAGAGAAGCAACCTGGAAATAAGGAGACATTTTCTGACAGTGGGAACAGTTAACCAATGGAACAGATTGCCACTAGAAGTTTTTCATCATCTGGAGGTTTTTTAAAAGGGACTTGACAACCATTTGTCTGGAAATAGTATAGAGTGTCCTGTTAGAGCAGGGCGATTAGATTAGAAGACCTCCAAACTTCCAGCTCTATTCTGAAGTGAATTTGGAAAAAAAAAAAGAAAGAATCCAAACTAGCTACTTTATTGTTCACTGCCAATAATACAGGAATCTCCCCAGCCAGGCAACTCTTGCCTGAGAAAGACTAGATAAGGCATGGCGGGAGTGGGGGAGTGATCAGGCCTTGCCCTCCTCTGGGTTAGGGTTAACGATTGTTCTCTAACACAAGGAATGGATCCTCACCCAGCTACTTGTCCATCAAGTATGGAAACCAAGTGTCAGCCTAGCTGTTCTGACCCAAGCCTTGTTCAAATGAAACAAACACAAACTGTGTTTGTATAAAAGCAACCCTTTTTTAATGCGGCGCTGGGAATTCAGGGCATTCCCAGCCAGAAGACCTTTAACCCGAATTGTCCGACATCAAAAGCAAGCCCTTTCCAGGTTGCAAAAGGCTGCCAAGAACGGAAGGCTAATTACTGATTAAATATACACGGACAGAAGTTTCAAAAAACAAACCGGAGTTTGCAGGGCTTCAACGAGGACTCTGAGTCTAAAGAACATCTTTGCTTCCTGCAAAGAACACATCCCCGAGGGCTGGTTTTTCACCTTCCAGCTTTACTCCTGAATCGCCCGTGCTGCCGCAGCTGCTCTTTGAACAGCCCCGCACGCACGTGCACTGGGCACAGGCTCCTCAGGGGACTCTTCCTCACTGCTGCCACAGTCTCCAAAGGCAGCACTCCATTCTCTGATGGTCCTGGCCCCATCCCTGCATCACACGCAGGCCCCTCATCCGAGTCCTCGCTCTCCCAGGCCTCAGCTGTCCGCACCAACCGGGCTGGAAATGGCATTCACGAGGGCAGCCTGAAGCACTTGGACCAGTGGCGTTCTCAAAACATCTTCCTGGCCTATGATTGGACTATGTTAGCTAGACTGACTACTGGGAGGTGGGCCCTGGGGCTATGTTCGGTTTGTCTCTTCACTTCAGACCTCGCCTGACTTTTGCTACATTCAGTTCTTCCTTAGTAAAAGTCCTGTTTCTGTAAATCTATGGTTTTCTCTCCTAGGGATCGAGAGAGACAGCACTGACACCTGGCGCATTGTAGTACCATGATTGCTTGATTGCAGTTTGTTACAGAGGTGGTATTCAGCCTGTTCTGACAGGCTCCGGAGAGCCGGTAGCCGAAATTTTGAGTCATTCAGAGAACCGGACAATCCCGCCTCTGACTGGCCCCGCCAACCCCATCTCTTCTCCACCTCCCATTGAGTCCCAGCTGATCGGCTGGGTCTCCTTTGGTTGCCCTGCATAGGAGAATGGAGCTGGAAAGCAGGTCAGTGGGGTGGGGAGGGAAGGGGGATTTTGCAGTAACCTTCCCCTGCCATGCCCACCAAGCCATACCCACAGAACCAGTAGTAAAAAAAAAAACTTTGAATCCCACCACTGGAGAAAGGGAGTGAGGAAGGATGATGGAAAGGAAGGAAGGAAGGAAGGAAGGAAGGGGAGGAAGGAAAGAAGGAAGGAGGAAAGGAAGCAGAGGTGGTATTCAGCCGGTCCTGACCGGTTCTGGAGAACCAGTAGCGGAGATTTTGAGTCATTCAGAGAACAGGACAATCCCACCTCTGACTGGCCCCGCCAACCCCATCTCTTCTCTGCCTCCCATTGAGTCCCAGCTGATCGGCTGGGTCTCCTTTGTTTGCCCTGCATAGGAGAACGGAGCTGGAAAGCAGGTCAGTGGGGTGGAGAGGGAAGGGAAGGGGGATTTTGCAGTATATCCTTCCCCTGCCAAGCCCACCAAGCCACACCCACAGAACCAGTAGTAAAAAAATTTTGAATCCCACCACTGGTTTATTAGTATTACCAAGTACAGAGGTAGATTTTTTTTGTCTATGAAGTCTATCCCTGATGCGTCGATCCGCAAAAGCTAAAATACGTTTCTCCCCGAGTTCAGAAGGAATTCGAATGACATAACCAGGTCTCTTGACAATGTCAGCTTCAGAGTTAAAAAGTTAATGGAAACCTGGAGGGTAAAACAAAAAACCAGCCGAGTGGCAGATTCTGGGTCGGGAAGAGATGCCGGCTTCATCCTTGCCCTCAAGGCTTCTTGGGCCTCCTTGAAACCATTAACCTCAACTGCTGACTCCTATTATTGCCTCCGCTACGCTAATGGCGTATCTAATGAGCACCGAATTAAACATCGCCGGGGAAATGAGCTGGGGTCGGTATTAAAAGAGAAAGCGTACGTTGGCTTGATAACGCCGACCCATGTGAAAATTAAGAAAAGAAGAATTCGGGGGGGCGGGGGGGAGCGTGACATGAGAGGAGTATTCCAATATTTGAGGGGCTGCACGGAAGAAGAGGGGGGGGGTCCAAAGCACCAGAACTGGGCAGGACAACAACAACAAAAAAAACAACGGGTAGAAACTTACCATGGAGAAAAACAGGGAGGGGATTCAAATTTTTTAACAACTGGTTCTGTGGGTGTGGCTAGGTGGGCGTGGCCACATGAATGGGTGGGCGTGGTTTTCCTTTTTTGCAGCACCCCCCCCCTTTTTTTTTTGCCTCCTGGGCCTCAGGGAAGCCTCCGGGGAGAAGCAGTAAGACACCGTGGGGGATCTCAGCACAGCTGATCATCGGAACAGCTGATCGGAACAGCTGATCCCCTCCTTCTTTCCTCCTCTCCTTCTTTCCTCCTTCCTTCCTTCCTTCCTTCCTTCCTTCCTTCCTTCCTCCTGGGAAAAGCAGTAAGACAGCGAGGGGGATCCCAGC